AACAAGTTCTCCGGGTTGTCAAATTAAGTATGGCTATTTCACATGTAAAGTAGGCCCCTGTCTGGTGTAAATAAAAATAAAAATTTTAACAAATTTTGAAAGTTAATAAAATGTAAAGTTAATAAAATATATGATTAAATATCGATAAAAATTGCCGAGTCCATAAATATATAGTTAAAATAATTGTGAATTTTAACTTAAATTTTTATCAGCTTTTTAAGCTCGCGCTAATAAATGATTACTTGTCTGTGAAATTCATAATAATTTGCCTATATATACCAACTCATCTGCCTAACCATATCCCAAACTCATAATCCGCCCTTATTTACCATCTCGTCTTCATAATAATTCTATACGTAGAGTCCCCTCTCTCCCTATCTATACATATGGATTCTAGTGATTTCACGGTGAGTATGAAGCGGAGAGATGTGGTGACGGCGGTGCTGCCAGTGCCGGAACAAGTTTTGCCCATGTCAAACCTAGATTTGCTCCTACCACCCCTTGATTTTGGAATTTTCTTATGCTACAAGAAAAGTAGCTTTAACACAGAGCAAAATCTGTCGACTGAAAATATGGTGACTGTTATAAAGAAAGCTCTTGCTCAAGTACTAGTGCCCTTCTATCCATTCGCCGGAGAAATCGTACAGAACCACCGTGGCGAGCCTGAGCTTCTCTGCAGCAACGCCGGGGTAGATTTTGTACATGCATATGCTGATATAAAGCTTAAAGAACTGGATCTCTATCACCCGGACGTCTCTGTTCATGGAAAGCTTGTTCCCGTTAAGCTTCGTGGCGTGCTTTCTGTTCAGGTAAAATATATCGTTACATTATCGAAACTAAAACAAACTGAATTCCTATTTTACTTCGTGTTTTGTTGAGTTTATGGTTTATAGCGCCATGATAGAGCAGCCAAAAGTACTGCATTTGAGTTTCATGAGTGCTGATCTGAAATTATGAAATAATAATAAAAAAAAAAGTTAAACCCTAACCTTAAGGGTCCCCCACCAATCCTGCCCTAGAGTATCGTGAGGGAGGTAAATCGCAGGTTATGCCTTCAAGGGTATAGGGTGGAAGGCTGCTTGTACACTTGCACTTACCCAAGAGCCAAATCCATATTTCAGGATTCGAACCCTTGACGCAACAGTTTCAAGCAAAATTGGATTTCTCCACCCTCCCTTTTTACCACTTGGAGATGTACCTTGAGGGCATAAATTATGAAATAATCCTTCTTATAAAAGTTTGTTCAACGCAAATTTATTTAATTTATTTTCTTTTAAAAAGCTGGATCCTTCACATGCAGTGTATTTGATATATTTTATTAAATTTCTAACATGTACAATATAAAATTGGATCCAAAAAATTAAAGCATTTATATACTTGAAAGAAATGAAGAAACATATTCTACATATAAAAATTCATCTAAAAGAAATGAGACCTTTATTTATTTAAATTAAATTTCTTTTCAACCACTTTCGTAATAGGTGATCGTTACTTACGTCGATATGAATAAATTATATGTTTAAAGTTTAAACTTTTATATGAATATATTAGAAAGACGATACATTTGAGTGGATAAATTTAAATTTTTCATCATTATGGTAACCCAACAATTTGAGGACTTGGGTTTATTCAAAATATAATATGTTTAAGAAAAAAGAAGTGAAAGACAAATTGACATTTTATTAACTTTTTTGTGGGGTGTTTGTTTTCCATTTTTGTAAAAATGAGAATGAAAAATATAGTCATTATGAGCCCCATACAAAATATATAAATTTAAATTTGATGACTCAATGTGATGGATAACGGTCATATTTTTCATTTTAATAGAAAAAAATGGGAAACAAACAGCATGTCATGACCCTGTCAAATAACCCAACCATGTATGGGGCCTGAATGACTTGTACATACTCCAAGATTATATATATATA